ACTTCCTGATAACTGAAACTATGTGAGCTGTGATCTGAACAGCATGTGTGTGTGAGCAGTGAATGTGGCCTATCAGCTCTTGTGCTTTACCCACGTGTTGGTTACAACCTGCTCTACATTTGAAAACAGTCTTCAACTGTAAAATATCTGTTTTAAATTAAGGCTTTCGTAGCACACAGCTCCACACTCAGGGTAGCAGTGGTGTAAGAAGTACTCAGATATTCTACTAAAGCAAAAGTAGAAATACTACGGGGTAAAAATACCCTGTTAAAAGTAAAAGTACAAAAGCATTGGTATCAAAATATACTTAAAGTAGCTCAATTAAAAGTACTCCTTATTATGACCCTTTTCAGAATCGTATATATATATATGAGTTACTCGGTTACTATGATGATTATTGATGTGTTTTATCACAGTTAGTAAATGTAGAGCTAATTGTAATAACTTTATGTCCTGCTGTTGGATATCCTAACCTAGAGATATCTGTCTAAGTGTAATTAATAATTGATTTATGTTTTGAATGTACTATTAATCTATATCTAGTAACTAAAAGCTGTCAAATAAATGCAGTGGAGTACAAAGAACAATACTGTCGTCTAAAATACAGTGCAGTCGAAATATAAAGCAGCATAAACTAAGACGTATTGGGATAAGAAAATATTTAAAGTACCAAAAGTAAAAGTACCTACTGTGCCCAATGTCCCATTTTAGAATCATATTGAACTACTGGATTCTTTCATTTTGTTTACGTTAATGTGTTCATCACAGCTGTTAAAAGTGGAGCAACCTTTACTTGATATACTGCTACTGGATATCTTAACCTATAATAAGTAAGGGATAATGTGGGATAATGTGCGGCTGATCTAGATCCCTCCGCTTCGCGTCGGGCTCCTGATCAGCCTGTCGGTGTTCTTTTCCCACTTTTGTGGCACTTCCTTCTGGATAAGGGTGTTCTTCATAATGACCACGTCGCAGCACATTATCCCGCTTATTACATGGCCACATTCTCAACAAAGTAACGTTATGACTCCCAATATTAATTGAAATGCTCTTATGGATTTAGAAAATGATTTTATTGATTTAAAAAATAGTTGGTATTATTGATTTAAAATGATATGCATCCGCTAAGAAAAATAGTCTTTTGTTACCGTTTGAACTACGTAGCAACGGCAGGAAGTTCTTCGATAGCGTTTTTAAGGAGCTTTTTGATTACAGATTTGAAAAACATCGTTGCTTGCTTTAAAAGTAGCACAATTCATTATGTCAAACCTTGGAAAGTATCTAGATATCCCTGCCCTAATGCCAAAGTAACTGGCAACTGAACATGTGTCGCCGTTTGATGTCTATGTCTGGACCGCTGCGTAAAAAGGAGGGTTTCTGCCCCATTACTTCTCTTCTTACTTCTATAAGAATAAAACACGGAGGACGGAGATCTCTTTTTCTCCCCCTCTTCTGACAGCCCAGCAGCTGATCTCAGAGCACACTCCCCTCTCCTGCAGGGGGGCGTGGTCAGCTGCAGCTCACAGAATCAGCCCCCTGCAAAAACAGCGCTGGAAAGAGCAAATAGAGTGAAATGAGGCATGGCTAAAACGCAGGATCTGTTTGGTGTTATTTATATACTTTATATAGGTATGGCCCTACAATATATTGTTCAAATATAGCATGATAGGTCACCTTTTAAGTGCATTTTTGCATAAAATTGCTGTGTCTCAATTAAGAAACTCAGTGAACACTGATGCATTGATTGCATTTGAACGCATCTGTTAGCTAGCAACTGTATGTTTTGCAGTCATTAGACTGCTCAATTAACCCGTTGAATTGGGGGCTTATTTCAAATCCACTTTAGTGGTACATTTATTAAATGGTGAAGAAAACCCACATGTTAAACTTTTATTTGTAAAGCAGCCACAATCGCGGCTTATCGTGTAACGCCGTTATGTAGCCAAGATGGTGACCATTGAGTGAACTTTTTAAATGCGAGTGCACCATTCTGATTCTTATAGTGCATTTTGCCATATTCAACAATGGGATGCACTCCTAACATTCAAAAATGGCAATTGTTAGCACAGAAGTACATACATTGATTCACAGGCACTTTCCCTCAGTCTTGTCTTAAGCTTCTGTTACGTGATGCCTTTATTATTGAGTGTTGACTTTACATTATAGAAAGTACTGGGAAAACTTTGACAAAGATATCTAATAACTCCAAACTTTTTTCCTGGAATACCACTGCCCTGTTCATGTGTCATGGTTGTCCATTTGTTTACCGTCTATAAATCAGTTATGTGGAGTAGTATTCTTAAAGGTGCCACATGGAGCGTGTTGTATTAGTTGTCTTGAACTGTGTTCCTGATTGTCCCTCTCCTCAGGTCCCCCCAGCTATGTCCCAGCTACGGCCTTCCTGCAGAACGCGGGCCAGGCCCACCTGATCAGCCAGTGTGAGAGCCTGGAGGCGGAGGTGAGCGCCCTGCTGCAGCAGCGCCGGGGGGCCCTGCGCGGCTGCCTGGAGCAGCTGCACAGCTACGCCACAGTGGCTCTGCTGTACCCCAGAGCCACCCTGCTGCTGCACCGCGCACACCAGTGGAAGGCCTGGCTGGAGGAGCTGCTGAGGGACATGACGGTGGAGCACTGCCAGCTCATCTACAGACAGTAAGCTGCTCGGACCCTTTTCTGCATGCTAACATCGGGTTCATGGCTTATAATAAACTGTTACTATTGGCTCGCGCTGAATGAACGAGCTGGCTAACAGTGTGTATAAACAAACACCTCGGGGGCTCATTGTTTAGAACATGAGTGTCCAACATACGGGATGACTTTGCAGTTAATGTCTTCAATTTAATATATACACTTTGGAATTTTCACAACTTTGATGTATTATGTATGTATACATTTGACTAGGCGTAGGCAGGGGGATAACTGAACCTTCTTCCTTAATAGGAATTAATTCCTTAATTACTACATGTAGAAATTTGTCAAATAATTTTCTACATCTTGACAAGTTTTTTAGATCCTAAAGTAAAATACTAAGTTGTTCAGTTCCAGATACTAAGAAATCTTGTTGAAATTGTCCTTATTTTTCTTTAATGTCAGGTTGTTCATAATGTTTTTGTAAAATCATAGTTCCTTCATTGTGAATATTTTCAAAATGTATTTTTTGCACAAAAACCAAGGGATCAATTTGGAGTTGTCATTATTTATAGGTTATTATGCTATGATTTTACTGGTCTGGCCCACTTTGAGAAGTAATGTGGCTGTATGTGGCCCCTGAACTAAAAGTGAGTTTGACCCCCCCTGGTTCAGGGCCTGGTGCCTCCTCCCGTCATGTACAATGCCTACAGCTTTGTTTCCCCTCTTTTTACAGATACGAGGTGCTGTTCGCCCCGCAGCCCCCCGCCGCCTCCTGCCAGTTCCTGTCCAGTGTGGAGCTGACTCTGCAGCACCAGGCGGCTGAAACAAACGAGCGCGTGCTGCACCATGCGGAGCGGCTGAAGGCGGAGGGCACCACGGCAGCCGCCTGCGAGGAGCAGCTGCAGGAGATCGAGCACTGCATCAGCGTGTTCCTGCGGGAGAACGGGGAGCCGGGGGCCCTCAGCCTGGCCGGCATCCTCACATCGGCCCTGTGCACGCTCTGCAGGTTGGAGAGATACTTTATTTATCCCAAAATCGGGAAATCATTTTGTTCCAGCAGCAGTGTCAAGTCTTCCACAATTTAATATGTTTAAAAGATTCAATAAGATACAAATATATTAAACATTAAAATGAGCAGCAAGTAGACATATCTCTCATTACTGTGTTGGGGTAGAAGTACTCAGATCTAGTTAAAGCTCATGCTACAGTGTACAAATGACTCTGTTATATTATACCCCAGTTTATTTTGATGCTCATACGTATTACTTTTGCTTAAGTAGCAGAAGTAAAAGTACTCCTTATGCAGAATGGCAACATATATTTTTACAAGTATCGATGCATACTGTGTTTATTACTGTAGTATTTCACTTGGGTCAAATATGGGGTTTATTTGAATATACAGTAGTAGCATAATATTAAAATAGTTATTAGAGTTATTGTTTTAGTATCACTCCACCATTGGTAAAGTACTTTCTAAATACATTCTATTTACCATTGCCAAAATCATTATTCAGCTGTATTAGTAAAGCTTTAAAATACCACCATTACATCTAATTAGACCTAGTCCTTCAGAAATGTGGTGCTTCCATAAGGGGAAGAAAGTTTCCTGTGAACAGGAGTGACGGAGGTTTTGTTCCAGGAGGAATCTGGTGATGGAGGGCGCAGCAGCCAGTGCAGGGGAGCAGCTGGTGGACCTGATCTCTCGGGACGGGGCCTGGTTCCTGGAGGAGCTCTGCAGTATGGTGGGAAACGTCAGCACTCTGGCTACACTGCTGCAGCGATGCCCCCTGCTGCCCCACGACCTGGACCTGCCGGCACCTTCAGCCACCACCCAGGCCGTGTACCTGGCCAACGCTGTCTACACCTGCTTACAGGTGGGTACACTCTCAAAACACAGCAGTTTTTTAGATGTGTGTACAGTGTTGCAAATTGGTCGCTTTTCGGCGCTTCCCGCTTTTTTTAACGCTGATTTGGGTGACTTGTGTAATTCGTGGAGAAAAGAGAGCTTTTGTTTTTGGGAGGGGACAACTTCTCACTTCAAAACAGAAGAAGAAATCTAGACCGCAAAAATAATTAAACAAGCGAGTACCTGTTTTTCCTGGCCAAGGACAGGTTCCTTGAACACAACACGAGCGTAACTTGTCTTCACGTGGTATATGTCTCGTCTGAAATGAGTGCTGACGGAGAGCACCAACACCGCTCCAGCTCTTCAAATATTGCAGTACCCATAAGGAGCCGTACACACGTTTGCGTGGCTGTGTCTTTAGTTGTAAGCACAGTGGCGATCTGTTGTTATTAGCATCTGGTTAGCTAGCTATGCTAACGAATTTAAAGAGCTTTTCTACAACCAGGTGGAAGAGAGCTCTCTCCTGAGAGGCTCAAATAACCTCAGCTCAGTGAGGTTAAGGCACACCTTGATATTATCATTATAGTTATTAATGAGACATTAGAGACTAAATGAAAAACAGGTATAAAATACTATATGACAGTAACAAAAAAGTGATTTGTAAAATATTCACAAAGAAAAATCTGCTTACTGTTCTGTTTCATATGGGTGTTGAGATGTATCTATAGATCTGCTCATGTTGCTCTCAAAGTGCACCAGATTGATGCTTTTAACTTCAATATTTAAAAAAAAACATCTTCCCGGAGGAGCATGCCCCCGGACCCTCCTTGAGAAGGTTAGGTCCCCCCCACCCACTTAAATCATGATCACATGGATAGGATACTAAATACATTTGCATACATCTTGTGTTCATATCTTTATGTTTTGGTGGTCCTGCCACAACCGTGCACGTGCATGCATGCATGCATCCATGCATGCATACGTGAGTCATGGTAAAATATCTGGATTAAGAGGTTGCTTTTTCTTTGCACAGCATGAAAGAAAGGCGAAATGAATCGGCTGTGATTTTAGTTTTTTTAAGCAGAGGTTGAGTTCAATAATTTGTACGACCCTCGGAGGATGTTGTAAAAGTTGAAAGGAAAAAGGTTCCCCACCCCTGCTGTAAATAATAATAAAAACCCTTGATTTATAACTCAACATCTCTGTCTCCTATT